AGTGCTGCGTGGTGGGAGATGGCACCCTGCAGCTCCGGGGAGCCGGTTCGAGCCCATCCCCTGTCCCGCAGCCCAGCGGCCCTTGGTCTGAGCCGATAAAGGATCGCTGCGCTCTCGCTGCTGGGATTCAGCACTTCTCCCTGTGAGAACATAAACTGCCCCCGGCCTCGGCGCTGCAAATCGCAGGTCTCGCTACAGCCATGCGACGCCCGTGCTTAGGGCAGGGAAATTACCCCCGCTCCAGCGACGGATGCGTGGGCTCGACCTATCACGCCCCGTAAGGATTAGAGCAGTGCTGGGGATCCTGTTTAGGTAGTCGCCGGTGCTGGGGCTTTTGTGTGGAACACCGCTGCTTCTGAATTGCCTGCGAGCTCTGGAAGCGGAGAAAGCAATGCTGCGCTCCGGCGGCGGAGCTGTTAAAGTACGATCTAGCCTTTGCTCCCCGCAGGATAGACAGATGGAGGGGAAGAAACCCCGTCCAAGCACCGAGTTCCCTCGGTCGTCCCTGCGTTGTTTTGTTTGAGCACTTTTGTGTTGTGGAAGGGTTTGGAGTTCAGCCGGGTTGAGCCATTGTGTTAAACGCCGTGTGAATTTGAAAGCAATAATCCCGGTCCTAAAGAGCGGATCACGCAGCAGAATTCACAAGTGTATTTGGTATGTGCTTAATCATCCCCCTACAACCAGGCGAGAGGCGACCGCCAGAATATTTGCTGGGGACACATCAGGACTCGCCTGTCTCCAGTCTCCAGTCCTTGATGTAAACGTCACCCTGTCAAATCGGGGCTCGGTGACAAGCTGGCAGGAACCGGCAAAGCTGCCGGTGCGTTGAGGGGGGATGGGGAACTCTGGAACGGTGCCAGCGTACCCCGGAGCGTCCGGTCCGTGTCCCGGTGCTGTTTGCTGTCACTGGCCTTTTCATTGAGGTTCTACACTCTCACCTCTTCACAATTAGTCTGATTATTTTTAGCGTTTTTCCCCCCATCCCCATGGGTGCAAGGAGTCTGCTGATGACGCTCTCACCCAGTATATTTTGGGGTTCCAATACTTAGCCTTGCCATACAGAGACCAAATCGTTTCCCTGTTGCATCCCAGAGCCCCCCGGCAGTGCTGTCGTCGGGGCGGGTGGCACGTGGGGGCTGGCACGCACGCGCTCAGCTCGCCGTGGGGATCATCCAGGTCCCTGTAGCTCCCGCAGAAGCACCCAGATACCAGCGTTGCTGTCACTTTGTGGGGGGACGTGGGCCCCAGAAGGAAGGCCAGGTGGTTTTGCTGTTTGTTGAGTACCTCGCATTGCTACCTGGGCTGCGGGGCCCGACTCGGTCTTGAGGAGAGCGCGGCACCCTCGTTCCCTCTGGATAAGACTTTGTGGGGCAAGGGCCTGGGGTCGGGGCTTAGGACAGGGTGGGGGGCACCCTCTCCCCAGACTGAACGTGGCAGCAAGGGGATGTCCTGGCTGGATGGGTTGCTCCTTCCCGGAGCTGGGCTGGTCCGACGTGACGACGTCTCTGTTTGCCGTGCCCGGCAGCGTTGGTGGTGTCTGAATGTCTGTCCAGGCGGCGCTGCGTTACTCTGAGCTCCCACCAGCGTGTTAGTCTCTTCTCTAACAGTGGTAGGACTTAGCTCTTCTCCAAGGCTAGTAGAAGTTGGTGACTCCAGGTGGGATGACCGGCTGTGGTAGGAGAACAGACCAGGACAGGGTCTTCTCTGAAGATGCACTCCCAGTTCGTAGTCCAGCATCAAGGTCCTTTGTGCAAACTCGGCCTTCCTGTTTCGGGATCCGCCGTGTGTTGTTTGGGTCTGGTGTGTAAACGTGGCCCCAGGTACCGGTGCCTGCTTCACCACAACGTTCCCAA